CAAATTATACGGCTTCTCATTGTGTTTGTTGAGAATAAACTATTGCTCAGTTTAATTTGATGAACGCAAAAGATCGTCGCTATCTACTAGTGTTGATCGAAATGAACTAAAGTGACTTAATTTCAGGCTTGTTTCGGCACCAATTTCACTGCATTGGCTATGGACACTCAACAATCCCCTTTTTTCACGAGAGTTCTCAAAGGATGATCCGGACGCTAAACGTCAATATGTTGCTAAGAAATCTCAAGAGATGTGTCGCGATTGGTGAGTGCTTTCAGTAGTATTCTAGCAAAATTTTATCTACTATGTTCATCGGGAAATCAGTTTATTTCACTGTGCGAGAGTTTCGAGATGAACTCATGCCGTGATAACGCCAAGATAATGACTGCGTTCGTCTGTTACAGCAATTCAACATTTCTGTATTTTCACTTGCGATTTTTGACGAATGAGAAATTGATTGTAAATGAAATGAGAACGGAAATTCAGGTACAATGAGGATGGTGCGTTATGGAATTTCATTATGGACACTGAAACGAATGCATCATGTCCTTGCATCGAGCGTCAAGCAAAGGTGGATCTTGGCCGCTTCATGCCGCATCCACGTTGCTCTCAGGTAGATGCTTGCAACGAATATACTCCGAAGCCATGACTATTCTACTTATTATCACACGAGAGAAATGTAGCTTTGTTCTCTCCTGCAGAGGAGCTGAAAAAATCACGATTCGAGGATAGAAGAAATCCGTGAATATGCATTGACAGCAAAATGAGAAACTTCAGCGAAGAGCTCTAAAACTGATTTTCTTGTAATGAAGATGTATACTGAAAGAGTGATGCACTCAGTTGAACGAGCTACAAATTCATCAATTCCATTTGTAACATTCTTATATTGAACGTTTTTCCGATGTGTACTTTTTGAGGTGTTTCGTGACATAACATGTACGTCGATGATTGGTGCAAAGAATTGCTATATGTCATCGGAAAATATCTACGGAACATACGCTGGTGATGGAATGGAGTATAAAGCCGAGAAAAATTCGTCCGTTTATTCTCTCTCTTCTTTTCATTCCCTTCACAAAATTTGGAAAATTTACGTGCCGAAATCCAGCACATTCCTTTATAAACAAACAGTTTCTTGCGCATTTGGGAAAGAATTCAATTTAATCAGATGACACATCCTATTTTCTTCGTATCGTGCGTTTTTTGCAGGCGTTTTCCAACTCATTACGGTCAAGTTTGTTGTTATGACGGAGAAGGAAAATTGATGCAAAGTACGTATCAGCCGGTGATTAAAGTTATCGAAAATACACCATATAATCCCGGTTATCCACTGAGGGCATACGAGTTCGGAACTACACCATATATTGGACAGTTTGAGGTGGGCATTACTGTCGGTTTTCAACGTTTCTTTACGCACAATAATATTCAGTATATGTATTTGAATTTTCCTTTTAACTCAAAATAAATTCATTCAAGTGAGTTGAAGCTGAAATTTAAACTTATTCGAATTGCAATAAAACTTGCACTTTATATTTGAATTTGAAAATCTTTGCTTGCTCAATAAGAGCGAGCCTTCATGGAATGGTGGCAATAACCACTGAAAAGCACACGTTTTCACGTTATGATACATTGGTTCATGCTGCAGTATGATCGTTTTTCGAATGTTTTTCATGTTTGCTCTGATTTTGGGTCACCGAAATGAGAAATCGGTTCCGAAATATTCATTGATGAATTCTTCCAGGTGCCAGGTTTATCAACATTCCACCATGACTATATGCCATACTTTTTGTGCTGTAAGTTCGCAGATTTCCGTTGTCAGCTTTTCTANTGAATTCAGGTGAAGGACAAGGTGCAGGATCGTTCACAACAATTGATGACGATAAATTTGTATTCAACGAACCCGGTGTATTCACAATGCTCTACATACCCAAAACACACGCAAATCCTGAAGTAAACATTCAAATACGTCTCGAGCGATATCCGAATCGCAAAGTGGATTTCAGTGAGTTTCCTCACTATTCATTCATGAACTTTTCACTCAAACGATTGATCCCCTCTCTCTCTACACACAATTTGTTAACCTCTCTATGATCGACAATGTGATCATTGATCATTTGAAGGCATGTTTCATAATTTCAGGTCTGCTGGGCAAATACCTTGGTCAAGCAGATTTGGTGCAACCAACGAATGCGACCGTCATAACTGGTGTAGCAATCGAAGCAACTGGAACGGATCGCGTGAATGTTTTGGTACGCAAAGATACAAGAAGATTCCGCTATCGAACTAGCGTTATCGTGGGCAACATTTTGCGGTATTTTGATACTATGCGAATTCAGAGATTCAAAGGTCTGTCGTCACTTCGTATATTCANTATTATTATTACAGCTTCGTCGTGTTATACATTCTGTTGTGGTGATTTCTAAGGCATGCTCAAATACTAATGCAGTTTGTTTAGAAGATGCAAAATTATCATGAAATGCTCACAGTTGAGAAAGTGAACGAGAAAAGTGTTATTCAGGTGTACTGGTGTATGTGAACAATGTCGAAAGAGGTCAGCCAGAAATATATGTTGTGTTGGAAGAGGCACAGATCGGTGTTCGTATACGTGAATCGTACGCACTGGATATTGATCGCTTATCAAATTATCAGGAGAGCATGGGTATGCTGGATGTCACCCTTAGTGTGCCACCACAATACGGAGTTGTAAGTTCAGCTTTTTGCCTATGTACATCATCTTATTAAGTATCATCGAATGAATGTCTTTGTTGCCTGATATAATATCTGAATTTAACTGAAGATATCAGCACGCTGCTGAAAACTGTCTTGCTCTGTGCGCCCTGGCACTTCATTGTCCTACTTATAAGAACCTCAAAAATTCAGTGGCGTTCTTCTATGAATATTTTCATCTGAGCGAATCACACTGTTTCTCATATTGAATACTGCTATTTTGAAGTGCATGCCCAGTTCTGTTGTGAATTTTCTAGCGTCCCGATGGTGACAAGACTAAAGAGCAAGAGCAACGTCGTTACTATAATCTGCCGAAGGTGAGTGGTCTTATGAGACCGTTCCCAGATCAGACCTCAGGTGCATACATGAAGAGCCTGACTTTGAACGACGTCAATTCTGAAGCAATTCGTCAACAGATTATCACACATTGTTAGTCTTCCCACATCATCAATATTCACAAATTTGTGTAGTCAATGATCTCAGAACATGAACAAGCTGCTTGATTCTCTTGTGAAAACAATGATGTACTGAAATTTAGGGTACTGAAATTTTCGAGTGTTATCGAAAATTATTATTTGCATGATTTGACTGAATAGATTTGGGATCAGTTGAGCCGTTTTGACAAGAATTTGAACGGAAGCATTATTTTGTGAACAACATTGCTTCGCTCAACCGATTTGATGAATTGTTAACATTCCAAATTAATCACTTAGCTACCGATTGATTTCAGATCGTATTCCGGGCAGTGGTGAACCGGGCACTGATCAAAATATGGCCGGTACGGTCAACAATAACATCCCGATGGAAAACATGTTCACTACAAGTCGTGGAGAAGATAAGAAATTCGAAGTATTCCCAGAGGCCTCGATGAAGAGTGGACCAGTTTATAAGGCGGCTGAAAAATACGAAATGTCCGTTGGAAATTGAGTTGTAATAAACCCGACTCTGTAGTCATCATCAATTGATGATGGATTACTGAAAATCCGTCATTAATCATATCCTCTTTCTTTACAAGGACAAGATTTTCGTCATACGTACAATGAGTTTTTTAGCAATAAGTTAATGATTTCATGATCGACACATCGAGAGCAACAACTACTTCCAGATACTCCTGAACTCGATTTCGGATTCCATGCATTAATGGACTAAAATCATTAGAAAAGAATAGTACCCACTGTATGATTCAGATAATGACTACACCGTTTTTCATTATTATCTTCATGCACCTGAGGCGCTTGAACATGGATGCAACTTCCATCAACCGTGATTAACTATGTTTTCAGAGGTTCATGTCGATTCGTACCGCAGACTGGTCAAATGGTCCATCAAATGTTGATGACATGCCGCGATCTTCAGCAAGATAAACAAAGTGAGTGATAGAGTTTTTCATGCATTCATATGACTGGATTTCAAGTATGTAGATGAATTTGTTCGAGTATGCTCATGGTGTGGCTATTCATCTATCATCATTGATTAGTGTACTTTCAGTTGCCTTGTGAATAGACTTTTTAGGCTGAACGCAATTTGATATTGATAAAATAACGACGAACATGTCAAATCGTGCTACCACCTATCCTAAAGGACTAATCTCAAGCACATTTGCAGTGAAGAAACAACCCATGTCGAGTGCAATAGCGTATAATTACGGCGCCAATATCTGTCCAAATAATCCAGCGCAAATTGTGCAAGATTGCGGGGACAGCGTTCCATGCCTCTACGATTACGCAATGCTCAATTCACGTGTTCTCGGTATGGAAGCAACCAATTCTTGGAATGCGTTCACTCTTGAACGAGGCGTTGCAGTACAGCATTGTAAGTAGTCAACTGTGAAAATGTTGCTTTCCTTAAATCGCGTTTGTTTTTCATGTTATCCACTCGATTATCGTTTCGATATCGTTCTCAAAAACTTTCCAAGGTTCGTACTTTCCAGCAAACAAATTCAGTGATTTCCATGCGTTTATCGCTGAACTTCTTATGCAGTCTTATACTGCGATCACTTTTTTAACCATATTATTCAGTGGAACTGAAAGTTTACCAAAGTTCTTGTTGAATTCCCAATTTGCTGTTGTCGTTTCACCGTTGAAAGCATCGACAATTCCAGATAATAGCTGTGGTCCAAT